GTCCAAAAGTAATTTTGATTTGATTTTAATGAAAAGGAAAAAATTACTGAAATGTTATAATTAATGTCATTGTCATTATAAATACATAAACTCCTCCAATAGAGTTGATTTAAATAATTTGGATAAGTGTATTTTTCATCTTATGAAAGATGAATATATCTCAATGTGTTCGGTTATAAAAACCTGGAGCCGAGTGAGCAGATACAGATTTGATGCCACGTGATCACAGCGTCAACGGAGCGACATTTCTGGTATTATTGTTATTACAAAACTTATAATATATGATCAATGAAGTTTTTTCTGCAACAGCACTGTATTTTATAATTTTCTTTAAAAAATTCAAAAAATATAACTTTTTGAAAATGACTAGTGTTGGATAAGGCATCATGTCAATGAAAATGTGTTATGTACTCTTCTCTGAAGATAGTATGTGCTCACAAGAATTTCACCAGAGTTAATTTTCCAAAATATACCTGAAACTCAACCATTTTTTAAAAATTAGACAAATGACAGTTGAAAAAATCTGTCTGATTTTGAAGATGATTTTGGAGCTAACAGATCACATTTTTTACTTGCTCTTGTAAAATCCGAACACATAACAGATGTAACTGAGACAGACACCTAATATAAGTGGACAAGTTCTCAATGAGTTATGTTGCATCGATATTGTTGGATTAATATTTAGGTGCTTTGTATTGAAGTTTGAAATCACAGATGGCTCATGAAAACACAATAAAGATGTGGCAACATCCCTGGAAGTTGGAAGAGATACATTATCTTAGAATGTACCACATGATATCAAATAAAATATAACTCATTTCCTATACATTAATCATTTCAAACTGAAATATCCTCTGGTTTTAAGGTACAATTAGTAAATACGAGTATTTTAGAAAATTCCATGCCTGTAGAACTTCATTTGAAAAATCACCAAGTGAAAACATAAAAAATGCCACTTTTTCATTTCGAATTATTCATTAATTAAACTAAAATAGTATACACCCACTAATTACTAGTTGAATATTTTACTATTTATAAAGAAAACAAAACTTATTTCGCTGGTATGAAAAATTAACTTCTGAACACATATTCTGCAAATGAATTTGGTTATTTTTCTATCACTGTAAATTATAATAAATTGCAAAAACAAGCCGTTTTTCAACCTTTAGTAGATTTGGTGACAGAATTATGGTTGGATTGTTTTGATAAATTGTGACTGAATCAAACTTGTAGTATTGTTTTCCAATCAACTCTAATTCGTTTTATGAAAAATAGAATCAGAACATTCCCGAAGTCAATTTTTGTGAGTGGATGAAACAGAGAGAAATATATATGGAGTTGTTCATGAATTATTGACGACTTAAGCTGAACATCTGTTGTATATTATATTGACCATTCTTTTATGCATTTTTAGGTTCGAGTCAATGGTTGCAATAAATGAGCGTATGTGACAATCAACAACAAGTTGTAAGACGGTACTAAAACCTTATAGGAAAGTTTTTTTTACGCAAATGCAGTACCACCTACTGAAGACGAATCAAATTTTTCAAGGTTATCCCCAAAAATTTTTCAAAGATACTCTCAATTCTCCTACAAGATAATTATGGTTACTACCATTTATGTGGAAGGTCACTCTCACTATATTTTCACCTACCAATGACTTTTGACTTCAAGGATTTGTAGAAATCAGGTTTCATCACCACACTGTATCATTTTAAACAATGAACAACAAAAGTTGAATGAAAAACCTAGTGAGAAGCTTTGTTTCAATTAAGTTGATAAACTTTTTAGTGGGTCTACAAAACAGTGACCAAGTCAAATTTTATTGTTCCTCTCAAGTTGAAATATGTCTTGACAGGTGTGAACAGCAGTTGAATCAGTCGATTCAGTTCGTTTTCAACAACTGCTTTTGATGCCATTTTAATCTGAATTACGTTAAATTGAGTTGATAATGAATTGAAACATTTTGTGTTGAACATGTGAACAAAACCTAATTCAAGTCATATTCAACTTCTGTTGTTCAACTATTATTGGTCAACAAAACTTGACTCATGAGAATGCATTTCAACCTTCCGGGGGGTTGACTTCCGGAATGACTTCCGGTTGACTTTCTGTACAACTCCATATATTGTTGCAATACCATTTCAACCATCATGTTTATATTTTAATTTGCGTGAATGAAGAATACATACAATAAGTCAATTCCTTCAGATTCAGGTTCAATTATCCTCCAGCACAATAAGATCGGGATTTTTCATCTTTCTTCTCCACTGAATCAGGGCCATAATTTTTATACTTTGAAGTGATTTGACATTACAGATGAAGAAGATATATCTCCAAGTAATGTGAGAGGGATTTGAAAAAAATGATGAATATAATAACAGCTGTTATTTCTCTCTCATTGTGTGGATTGGGCGATGTAAAGAAGAAATTATTTCTTAAATTGTGTAACTCATGTAGCCCCAATCCACCAGCATTGCAAAACGAAAAGTTGCAATTAAGGGAATGTTCTGCCAGACCTGAATACTTTATCAAGTATTTAAAATTGATCAACTTTTTTTAGCAGATGACAATCTTAAAATTTTTGTTTGAACAGTTTAACCACTTATATTTCACTTTATTTTATATGTGAGCCAGGAAAAAATATTAGACGTCTGATGAGACTGAAAAAAAAAGTGCAGTTGAAAGTTAGGAAGACTAGTACTATTGATGATTTCTACTTTCCTACAACTCATTATAGCACTTTTTCCATTTCACAATCAGAAATCAGTAGAATGTCGTTCAACAGCTCAACAAAATTTTCTGATGATTTCTAATTTTGGGGGGTTATAGGGATTAAAATAAGTTAGTGGATACCATGAGTAAAACAAATCATAAACTAATCAACCGGCTTGTCATATTTCATGAAACTCAGTAAATTTAACTAATGTTACAACTAGCTCCATTCAATGCAATTAGATTTAAAAAATTTCAGTGGGGTTGCAGATGAACATTAAAATCTTTATATACCAAACATCAGATTGAACAAATATTTTTTTAAATCTTTCAAGTTTAAGAAATTTAAAATACCCACTGAAAATTTCTAGCACACATACATCAGTGTTGATTGTATCAAATATAAAGTACGCTGTGACGGTATTAGTTATGAAAATGGATCACAAATCAGTTTTGATATTTCTTTTTTACTTCTCAAAACCACCTATTACTTGCTTCACTATAGCAAGAGAACTTTATGAATCCGAGTTACAAATCAACATTTTTTATTAAAATTCACGACATGAAACTACTAATGCCTATCGTGCTTAGTCCATTTTTTTATGTGAAAAACTGAGAAACAGTTGAAAATTTGCCTTACAACGATAATTAATATTATTGATTTTCGATCATAGGAGATCTGAAAAGACTATCACTATGAATTCATGAAAAAATTCAATTCTTTCAAGATGTATAGTTTGAACAAGACCCAAATATTTTTTTGAAACCAAATACAGTTGAGATAGACCTATTCAAAGAAATTTCATCACAGTAAAAATTTAGCCTCCAAAAATATAAAGTTATGAATCTTTTCAAAGTCGGATGGCAACTACTCCCTTTACACCCATATATCTGTCTTCGACTCATTCATTAAACTGTTCAATAATGAAGACTTTGATCAATATCAAGTATTACAAGAACTTCACAAAATATGATTGAATTTAATTTTGAAAGAGGTTAACTACAAACCTACAAAACTTATTGCCATTTATATTCAATATGATACAATTGCTGACTAACTAAAATATGTCATTATTTTCTCTGAATTTAGTTTTGAATTTAGAAAAAAAGACAAGCACTAATTGATGGATGGATTGTTACATCACCTTCTTAGTGATTAATACTCTGAACTGAACCACTAGTAGTGCTCCTTAAATATATCAACCAATGTAAGTAATAATAGGATGGATGGTGATGCACCAATTTTTTTTATTCAGGAGCGTATGCTTATTAAAATATAATTAATGAGCATAAGCTCATATATAATTAAGATTTAAATGATGACTAACATCACTTCACTATTTACTAACATCAAAACAAGAGATTAAAGTGAAAAAAAAAGTACGAATGAAGAATTGGTACAGTAGTGTGTTAGTTTGGAATATAAATTCAAAGTTTTCATTATTCACAAAACAGTCCAGCACCTTAGAGAATAAATTTGCAACATTAGATGCTGTAGGCATACAAAAGGAATTCTTAGAATTGGTCCTCACTTTTTATATATCTATAATGGTCTCAAAATTATCAAGATGTAAAAATGAATATCAAAGCTCGAATTACTCAATTACTCACCAATAAACTCTCTACTTGGTATCTTTTTGTCTCCACGAATCAGATCGTGGGCGAGAATTATTAGTACGTATACGTCCAGAGCCAAAAGATTGAGTACGAGATCTAGAATATTTGAAACCTGTTTCAGCGGGAGCACTTGTTCCTGGCTGCGGATGTGAATATTCATTTCTGTAAAATAAATTAGTTACTGTTGGCTCAGTTGATGGAATTGTGACCCTTGAACCTTTGATATGCCCCAGATGGACGTCTTTGATCATCTCGCGAGGTACTTGGGACAGCAGACTGACTCTCGGATAAACTCCTATTTCGTCTGGTCGGTTTGTATTGATTCCCTTTCCCGTGATGAGATTTGAATATTTCCTCAATTCTAGGCTAAAAGGTGAATAATATTTATAAAAGAAGCCGAAAATAAGCGATATACAACTCACTTCAACAACACGAAAATCTTCAACAGTCTTAAACTTAGACAAATATCTTTTCAATGCTGGATTAACATTCAAATGACCACCATGTTTATAGTATTTTAAAAATGCCCAAAACTTCTCCAACCCATACAACTGTCCATTTTCATAATCTCTTATTGTTTCTTGCTGAAAATCCTCATACAGGTGCGGTCTAAACTTCACTTCTAAGCCATAGGAATAAAATCGGAATAAACATTCCAAGCCATAACGATAACCTTGTTCTGCATCCTCCAGAGCAAGAGTTTTGAATTCATTGTACATTGTTCGATTGAAGTTTTCTCGCAAAAAAAATGACCAAAATCGGAAAAGTGTATTCATCTCATTTGACTGACCAATACCGAATCTCTTCCTTTCTGTAATGGAATTTCAACATGCATTAGACTGAAAAGAACATGAACTTGATACAAAATCAACTAACCTTTCAAACCCTTCTGCCTAAACTTATGATAGGCTTGCTGTGTAAAGTTGTTATCCTTGAGCAAAGCATGAGATGGGTGTTGAAATGTTGGCAAGGCTTGAGGAACACTACCATAACTTGTGCCAAGATGGGCATCATTTGGACTTGTTCCATAGCTACTCCTGCAATAAAAAAGTATTCAGAAAATAAATATATCCAAAGTATCAAAACTTAAACTTTGATTAATTGATTAAAACAGCATTATTTAAAGGCTTAAAAAATATGCCATAATTTTTTATTTCCCATAATAAATAACTAAGCTTTGAATTGAAAATGTTTTTTGCAAAAGATCAAAATGACCAGCAATTCTTTTTGCCATAACTGTAATCTTAAGTGAAAATGTTAAGACATTTCTTGTGGAATTTGCTGCACCTAGTGTGTAACTGTTTCATAGAGACGCCCTAAATATATTTAAAAGTGGTACCCACTGACAGTGGAAGTGAAAATGTAGAGAGCTCACTCATAGTAGATGGGGATAGTTTCAAAGAAAAAAAAATAGATGCTGCCAAAGCAAATAAACCAAAGGTCTAGATCTAGATTGTGTAACATGGAAATATATTTCATCTGTCATGTGCAACAAAAAATGCATAAAAATATGTGATGGCAGAATACAGTATTGTCAACTGGACAACAATACATCAGCAACCACTCACGAATCCACAAAGCTAATTAATGAAAAAGAAATGCTCATTAAATTATTCAAAGAAAAACATGCCGAGAATGGAATTTGTGAAGTTTTTTTCCTTATACAAGGGATTGGGCAAATTTCGGATATGCGGTTGGTTACCTCGTTTACAGGCAGATGGGGCGATTGCAAACCTGTTTGTTGTTCGCTTCAGCCTAGTACGGAAATGATACTCTGAAAGTAATACAATAGATGTAGGCGTTATTACGTTGTAGGAAATCATCATGAAAAATTAGAATTGAAACTTCATATCTTTTTTATTACTTTTATTTTCAACTAACATTACTGCAGTTTCGTCATATAAGGACATTTTCAAACTCATACTTTAAACTAAAAATGATTAATTACATTAGCCCTTATATAACACCCGTGCAGATAATAACAGATGCACTTAACTCAATTGAGTACCTGAATTTTGTTTACCTCGACAATGTGAATACCGGTGAGTAAACTAGATCGATTTCATTATTCAACAGGTTGCACCCGACATGTTTATGCTTATGAATTTCCAAGGATTCCAAATAATTGAGTTTGCAACCCTTCCTTGCATAGTGCAAAATTTCCGTATCGTTTAGATTTGGGAATTGTGGTTGCATCCCAAGGAATGACTACAAAACGTGAAATCATTTTTAGCTAGTCTGAAGGGCCTTTCATGTTCAGCATACCGTTTCGAGAAATTTCGACCAAATTGTCCCACATAAATACAATTACACTCCGGATACTTAAGCTTATGAACTCCAGATTTCTCCAATTTCACTGTATCTTTGGCATTGAAAAGGAAATCAGATAACCTGGCAAGTGGTCTGAATGCCACTTCCCCATTGTTTTTTTCTGAAGAAACCCGCAATTATCTCTGTTCTTTTACCAAAATATGTTAGAGTTACCCATTTCCTGATTTCTGATTGTTTGATCTGGGGGTATATTAATCAGTAAGTGAATTTACGCCTTTGTTTTCCGATTCTGGATTGTGTCTGTGTTGAAACCTTTATTACAGCCTATCTGTGTAATTATTTCAATTTCTCTAGGTAGATTGTTAGCAGACAAAGGTAGTGCGAATGCTCTGTGCAACATTGAATTGTAGGCTGCTAATTTATGAGTGTCTGAATGGAAAGAATCATATTACCATCCCAAGTGAATAAATTTCCGGAGTGTAATAGTGTTCATGTGGGACAATGTGGTCGAAATTTCTCAAAACGGTATGCTGAACATGAAAGGTCCTTCAGACTAGGTAAAAATGATTCGATGTTTTCAAACCACTCCTTGAGATGCAATCACAAGTTCCCGAATCTAAATGATACGGAAATTTTGCACTATGCAAGGAAGGGATGCAAACTCAATTATTTGGAATCCTTGGAAATTCATTAGCATAAACACTGCGGTGCAACCTGTGAAATGATCAAATCGATCTAGTTTACTCACCAGTTTTCAAACTAACGTGTCCACATTGTCACAGGTAAACAAAGTTCAGGTACTCACTCAATTAAGTTAAGTACCTCTGTTATTACCTACACTTGTGTTGTAAAAGGCTAATGTAACAATCATTATTAGTTCAATGTATAAGTTTGAAAATGTCCGTATAGAAGGAAACTGCACTAACGTTAGTTATAAATAAAAGTGATAAAAAACATGGAAAGTTTCAATTCTCATTTTTCATACTCTAAGATTTTCAATTATCGGAAATCATCGACTTTATGTTGGTGATAGACACTACCTTGCATTGATGAATGGCCAAACACCCCGAAACCAGTCTGTGTTCCAATAATTGAAAATCTATTACGGCAGTTGTATCGCCAACAGCATATGCAGGAATAATTTCAGTGAAGGTTCCTGCACTGACACCTGTCAGATATAATCCAACGCCCTTCGTGGTATTAGCCAGGGAAGTAGCTGTTTTCTGATAGGAGTCACTCCATCAACCTACAGTGTAGGTAATTTGAGATTGCCTGAACAAATTGTTCTTTTAGATAAATTAAATAACAGATTACTGAATCTAAACAATATTCTTCTAGAAGAAAAAATCAACCCAAAAAAATTGTGCCAAATAAAGAACAGAGGAATTGCTGTCCATTTGAGTAATCGAACTGGGAACGATTAATTACTTACGAAAGCAGAACCAGCGCTATTTCTAGAAGTGGCCTTCGAAAACGAGAATGAACAATTAACAATAATGAACGATTATTATTTCAACAACCAAATTAGTGATGCAGATTTTCGAAAAATATCATAGTTCCTAGAAGAAAAAGGAATATCACTAAGACAATAGTTTTAGAAAATGATACAAACAAAGACTATGTTAGTATAGACACGCCTAAAGAAGCTATAGCAAAACACGTGTTGCCTTTTTCTAAAACTGTTAACTGAAAATCTCACAATGAAGTGTTTATTGAAAAGACTCCGCCATTGGAAGAAGGGGTATTATGCGCCTCACAACATCTTAAATGATTGAAGTTCATATATAGGTTCGTTCCAACCAGCTTCAGAAACAGTTTCTGACAGTCAGGATTCTGCGCAGAAATGTGATTGCATTCCAACGTGAGTTTCCAACCATTAGTAAACTATCAGTTTTCTGTTCCATTCAAGATTCAAACCTGTTCGAAATCTATCAGAATGGTTTGAGGATTATCTTAAAACAACATAACCTGCAAAAATTGTTATAAAATAAATTATGTGTTTGCTGGCGCAGGAAAAATTAGGAATTATTTAAGTGAACCTAAAATATTAACATCTTTAATTACACAAATCAATTATTGCGGTGACCTACTTACCTCCCAGTTCCATGTAGAATAGAGATATAAAATACTGCAACCTTCTTTTACCCTCCAGAAATACACTTGATTAGATTTATTTTTAAAGGTTATCTTGAAATTCCATGCCAAACTTCAGTTGAACTATCAGCTGTTCCAATCAGAAATTTCAAATTAATCAGAAATCAATATTTACCAGACATTCGCGTAGACAACGATTTACAAACTGTTGGAAATCTGTTTGTAACTCAAGGTTGGAACGAACCTTATATAAACAACCATTATTCAAAATTCAAGCATAATTACGAAAGAACTCGTAAAAATTAAAGTAAATGCTTCTTGTTTGGCATGAACTTGATATTCAAACCCTCAGTGTGGCCTACAAACATTTCCTCAAATATTGCAGCTACAATAGAAATTTCAAGATATAAATAAATCTATAATCATTAATTACAAATCAGAGAATGTGAACTCAATTTATGCTGGATAAACATAGTGACTGTCCTTTTATATGTGGTAAAAAACATGGAAAGTTTTATTTCTCATTTTTCATGAATTATTACATATTTTCAACTAACTTCTTTTTGTCGAGCTTCCATAAAACTTGGGAGTGCAATAGTACACTTTCGAAAAGGAATAAAATATATTGGTGAAACACGTGCTGAGAAGGGTATTGAATTTCTAGTGCTTGTTTTGGATAGAATTGAAGAATAAAAATAAGACAGGTGAGGAAGATATGCTGCCATTGTTTCAATCTTTCAATCTTGAACAATCAGTACATTTCAAATCAAATAACACTCGGACTTCTTTGTCTAAACAGGTGTTAAAAGATTTGAAATTTATGGAAGAAAAAATACAGTTACAAAGGATTAGTTGAAAATCAGAGCCCAAACACAACGTTTGGGTTTCAACACCAGACAGCGCTGTTTTGACCCGTCATGTGACAGGGAGGCCACAAAAACCTCTAAATATATAAGTAATTTCAACTGTAAAGAAGACAGCTTAAATATCAATGGAATATGTATACTAGCACTTCTGAACACAGATTCTCTCAATACTTCAAAAAGAGATGGACCAAGCAAATGCAAAAACAAGGGGACCTTCGACATCCAGTTTCATTAAATTTGAATACATCAGACCACTTTCAGAATGCATATTGCATCAAAGTAGATCACATCGACTATTGCTGTATCGCCTTTTACTTAACAATTTACAAAACCACATGTGTTTGTTTCACTATACAATATTTTCTTATGGCATTTCTTTTAACAATTAAACTAATCTGAAGAAGTTACTGTTTTGAGTGAAAATCTCAGAATTAAAGTATTATTTGAATACGTTGACATGTATCTTCACCAAGTATCATCCAACTACATCACAAATTAAAAAAAATAGTAGAAATGTGGCAAATAGAAAATATAGGTTGACATGTTTTTCAACCTTTTCAAAATATCTATTTCACACATCATAAGAATCCATAAAATTGAGCTGAAACTTTAATTGGGCCAAAACATGTATGCCAAATTTCATTTATAAACAAAATAAAAATCTTACCCTGTAGAAGTGGTGCGTAAACGATGTTCTCTTACATCCATGATCCATCCTACATGTTGCTCTACAGGTGGATTACTAGAGTGTCTTGTCTTACGTTTTCTTGGAGTACTTGGATCAGGCCGATCGTCTTTAACAACAGCGTAAAACCTAGGAGCATTTCTACGTGGTACAGTAGTTGAATTGTTTGTATTTTCATGTGGTTTTTGTCCAGAAGTATCAGCCTACAAAAAATAGTTATTCAAACCACAAAAGAGCTTGAATTCCATCCACAAATAGTTTTGCAAAAAATGAAAATGTGGAGTTGAAACATGTCAATGTTAAAAACAATGCTTTGCATATTTTTACAAAGCCCGTGCCCACGTGCCTTTATTTGCAAATTGTGACCCTTTTGTCACAATTGTGCTCCAAATAACACTGACTGAAAGTCATGTCCCGCGACAATACATATTTTCTTTCTTTGTATCTATAGAAAGGAGAATAAAAGATTAATCTATCAATCTCTGTTCGGTGCAATGTAGACCTCAGTGTGTTTCAATAGATCTGACATTAATTTTTGCTTTCTTATGATTTATGACTTTAACCACTTTTTAAAATTGTTAACAATCAGATGGTTTGACGGATCTAGGAACGAGTACAGCATCATCAACACAATTTGTTATTAAGATTGATTTGCTTGCTCTCCTAGCCATTATTGCACAAAACAGTAGGACATTTTTAAACTACTGCTCTTTCAACACGGTGATTGTGCTTGTGCTTGTCACATGATGAAAAGGGCTCTACTTTGTATTGAAAAATGTTACATATCCTCGGCGAATGTTCTGTATCTGAGACCAGATGAACTCTTTTCCTAATTTGAATTTGTAATTGTTATTTTCTTATATAAAATATTCATTACTATTCTAAAGATAGTTCAGACGAGTTCTTAAATTCAGTGATAATTCCACCAATTGATTAGATGGATTCAGCTATTGGTCTATTCAAAGTGTTAGTGTGTTTCTATAGGTTGAAGCAATCCACCAAAATGTTTCTGTTGGATTCAAGAACTCGCTCCTTATTTGAGAATCATTACTTTTCAAGTTTTCTTTGAATGGAATTGACTTTTACAGACAATATGAAATAACTCATACAATTTTCGGTAAAATCTCATCTAACATTTGACTGAAAATGTATTTTCAGATTTTTGAAATGTATAAACATCGATAGTAATAATACAAAACATATCTTACATAATCTTGATCATTCCATAAGTCTTCTTCATAATAGTACAGCCCATCATTGATTGCTTGTTCCAATTCTTGGGACATTTTCACACGTGTTGTCCAATCCCCAGTGCGGTCATGGCCTTCGTGTTTGAGAGGTCTTGACGATGTTGTGGACTGTGTAACAATTAGTAGTTTATTAACATCATGATCACTGAGCTCATCTGTATCATCGTCAGGTGGCCTGAAAAAATATTATATTATGAACAGCTATTTATTGAAAAATGCCAAAAACTACAAGTTACTTGTTCAAATACTAAAATGAAAGAACGGTAGTTATTAAATAAACGTATCAAAAACAAAAAAGTAAGTTAATGCCATATTCATATTTTTTCTCCTCTTGGTATATTCAGTGGCCCCTCAAAATATTTTAAAAGTTATTTTCATGTGTTAGCTAACTAGTTTTCTTCAATTTTCACCTTATTCTGCAGTCTCGAGTCTCCGCAAAGGAGTCTTCTTGAGGCTGTAAAATACGGGTCAAGCGTACAACATAGGTGGTCTAATCTCTTGCCTGTAAATTAGCAACTTGTTGTCAATACTAAGCTTCGAGTTCGTCAACACAGTCACTATTGACTCGCAACTTCCCGAAAATCTTCACATTCGTTAATTTCTTCGTGAAATTAACGAGTTCTGTCTTGGGTTAATCAGAATTTTATTCTTTTCGAAATATGAAAAGACCAACCTGTCGAGGTGGATCTGAAGCTGCATGAAAATTATTTTTAACCTCATGCTTACAAAATTAAGTTCGATAAAATTCATTAATATTTTAAATGTAACTTCAGATTGATAACGACCTTCTTATCATGACTGTATTATTTTCAATGGAATTTATATTAGTTAAATCGGTGTACAAATTCAGAGAATAAAAATGTATTCAATCGTGGAAATAATTTTTCACCTGAAGTGAAGAGTTTGCTTTAGCTTTTTTTGGAATAAAAAATTGTTGCAAAAAAAATGTCCGCGCTATTGAAAAATTACTTTCTACCTTATACTTATTGACAAAAATTAATGGAAACTCAATTCAAAGACTAATGTTTGCCTCTGAATCACATATGCTGGAAACGAAATCAAAATTGGGCCTAAAACTATTTCAACGTACAGTATCATCAAGCATCACATTCCAGTGGATCGAAACGAACTTGTTCGGATTTTGACAATGATCTCCTCCCTAAACCTTCTAAGATGAAAAAAAATCAACATCTCAACTCCAGGGCTAGTATCAGCCATAGATCTCACTCAAACTAATAATAGAAATGTAATGTTCATTATTTCAGCTGTTATCACAAGTTTAGAGATATATTGATAGATATAACATAAGTTATACTTCTATTTGTAATGCCTCATTTCCAAAAGAGGAGAAATTGTTAATACAATTGAAAGAGAAGAAATCAATGAATCTTGCAAAGTTCACTGGAATGGGAAAATGCTCCCCACAGGGAAAAAAGTATCAAAAGCAGAATGGCTTTCAATACTCATTTCAGGGACAAATACTGAAAAAATAATAAAAGCTCCGATTCTTCTGAAGACACAGTATCAGTCAAGCTTCAGCAGTTTTTGAAACTCAGACAGAATGGAACATTTGCTACAATATTAAAGCAATGTGTTTTGACACTTCTTAGTGAGGGCCATCGAACTGTAAATACTTCAACAGCAGTGAAAAATAATTCAGTAAACAATGAATTATAAATGTTGTAAAACTAAAGCTACTTCGCATCATATTTGCATTAATTGTTCGGTCATCTTCCATTAGAGTTGTTTAGAAGTACATCACAAAAAAGTGTTATCCTGATGTTATTACTCTTTCATCATGACCGAGTTGTGGTTGAACACCCTCCCGCTATAGGAGACCTATTTGCCTATCATTTTGCAAATTCTAAAACTGATATTTCCACACACTTAGGTCAAAATCTAACATTACCTTGAACAACTAGTACAAAAATAAATATTGTACATTCATTTGAGAACGGATCAATTACTGAAGCTGAAATGCATGATGCATAGATCTTATTGAAAAATGAAAATTCGAGTGGATCAGATGACCTGTCGCAATTGCTAAACAAATATTTGAACTTATCTATGAATCAATCTTACATGCTAGGGTAATTTCCAGAAGAATTCAAGAAAGCGTCTTTTTAAAGAAGGAAATAGAAATGACCTGAATAACTATCGACAAATTTCATTACTTTTTTCACTTTCGAAACTATATGAAAAAGTGGTGGCTACTAGAATAGTGAATTATTTAGTCAAATAATTTGCTATGTAATAATCAACACGAATTTAGGGTAGACCGTTCCATAGAATCCACAGTCTATGATTATCTCAATAACATATTCTCCGAAGTTGATGCCAATAATTTTGTAATAAGTTTTGATCTGTCAATGGCGTTTCACACTGTAGTGTATTGATTTATTGTACCACTCAGTATAGTAGTTTATATCGGATGGCGTTAGTTTATAGGAAGAGATAAAAAACGAGCATGTATGGGCAGTATGTAGGTAGTCGATGGAGAATAAACACCATTTTAAAACCACAAGTGTTTTCAATTATTTTTCAATTATTGATATCAAGTCCCAATACATTACAAGTGGCGATGAGGATTTTTAACGATTTAGAGTGTGTGAATTTCAAATTTGAATTTCAAAATGGCAGTGTCAGAATACATAAGTCATTTACGAGAATTCGATCCATCAGTAGCCGACTGGTCAATTTTCAAAAGGAGAATCGAAAATTATTTTGTGGCAAACAATATCAACGATGATAAAAGTAAAGATGCAATTATTCTTAACGTACTAAGTGAGGACGCTTATAAATTGATTCACAATTTTTGTATGCCGGGTGAACCAGAAACTAAAAAGTACTCGGAATTAATCATTTTATTAGACGAACATTTTAAACCAAGTTTATCAGTGTTTGCGGCACGGTACAAATTTTACCATTCGCAAAAACTAATCAGTGCATCGCCCTAGAGAGTGGTCGGCCCGGTTAAGAAATTTGGCGACATTGTGTGATTTTGAAAACGATCAGTTAAAATTAGTGTTGCGTGATAAATTCATTACGGGGTATGATAAAGGCCCAGTACAAGATTGCCTCTTTCAAGAAAAGAAAACGGCAAAATTCAAAAGTGTGATTGAAGGGGCTGTTGCGAAAGCGGCAGCGCATCCATCTTTAAATATGGAAATTCTGAACCTGTGATAAAGAAGGAATCATATATTCCTTATGCGCAAGTCAAACTAAGAGAACAGATGGTAAGACAAAGATAAATAGCAGCAGGGATACAACCGTCATCTTCAGGACAAGTGCGCAACCGCAGCGGGAACCAGAGAGGACATGCAGGTGGAGTTTCTTCCAAATGTAGCGTATGCGAAAGGAAAAATCACCAAGGAACAAAACAAATGTTCTCACACAAATATAAAGATTTTCATAGATTTCGAAATGAACTAAGTATTGAAGAGGGTTGTTTACTTTGGAACAACTGGTTGATCATTCCTTCGAAACTAAGATCATCAGTTTTAAAGGAACTTCATTTATCACACATGGGTGTAGTCAAGATGAAAAGTCTAGCGAGATTATTTTTCTGGTGGCCGGGTCTGGATGAAAATATAGAAGAGATATGTAAGAATTGTGAGAATTTCAATAAATTGATGGATGTAGCCGTTACTACGTGGTAGGAGATCATAATGAAAAGAGAAATGAAAATTTCTGTTTTTTACCACTTTTAATTGTAACTAACGTTACTGCAGTTTCGTCCTATATGGACATTCTCAAACTTATACAATATACTTTTTTATTGTCTATATAATGTCCAAGAACATGATGTGACATAAGGAGTTCCTCAGGGATCGGTACTGGGACCTTTAATTTTTGTGGTATTTGTTATAACGATCGCTCAGAACATGTTGACAATTGTTACATAACTTTGTTTGCAGATGATACCTCAATGACAATCACTAACAAGAGTCAAACAGGTTATTGATGGATTTACTTCATGGTAAGCCTGTTATTCTCTTAGGTTTTTATCCCACCATTGTGGTCAAAGTTGGGTTATAAAGATTCTTGAAGGTAAACTTTCCAGAATTTGAAAATATTACCGCTAGCAGAAGTATACATAATGGAAGCTTATAGCAACCGTTTTTCATGATAATACATCCGGTTAAAACGTCGCGCAATGTTTTGTTTGCGCGCCAATACCTTACCTATTGATAGGTACTACTAACAGATATTAATAGATTGTCTGATAGATTGGGCCGTTACTTGATGAAGATCCATAGTCATTTCAAAAACTACACCTCACGATTTGATCTCCAAAAACTTTATTTGAAAAATATATCACATGTTTCGCGAGCACAGTAGCTACTGTGCATCACAGAATTGCTGAAAAAATGAATAGTAATGTAGCTTTCAAGAAATTGAATAAGCATTATTCAGTGCTTTGGTGACTTCAAATTCACCGTTCATTTTCAAACAGTTTAACCTTCCTTATGAATTTTTAAATACTGAACTACAGACATGGGAATCAAATTCTGATTACGAAAAATGTCTAGGCACATTCAAAAAGTAGAAAGTGGAGAATGAATAATGGTGCTGAAGTAGAAGTCACTCTTATTGAGAAATTTAATTATGCTTTAATTTAGAATGAAGATGAAAGGCAGAAAATTCTTCAAACAGTACAAAATCATTGCTAACAATATCCACTGAGTACAAAATCATTTTACTCACAGATTTTTTTTTTACCAAAATACTTTATTTGTGTGATAAGATGCCTAGCTGTAAGAATACATTCACTCAGTTGTCCATACTTACTTTTCTCTATCTGTACATTCACGTATTAGCTGTGAATATTGAAAAAAAAAAGCTCACTACACAAAAAATTATGTGTCATAAACATAACACATGAAGGGTCATATGATATAATCATGTCATTGAATAATTTGGAAATACATGCAGCCTACTCACTTTCAAATCAACACTATAATTAAGAATGCATTTTATTGTATGCAAGGATTTTTTAATTTCTGTCAGGTCAATGAAAAATAAAATTTTCATACTTGTAATGTAATGTATGTCTCTATTTATATGTATGTATGTCTCTCAAAAAACTAGTTAAAGGAGATGACATTGACTTTCCAAATTGTATTCAGTTTGAGAAAACTGGTGAACTTATATTACTAAAAGATGTTATTGAAA